CACTGTTGACGAGTTCAATGTAACTCACCCTGTTAGCACTGCTAACGAGCTCACTGTAGCTCACCCTGTCAGCACTGCTGACGAGCTCACTGCAGCTCACCCTGTCAACACTGTTGACGAGCTCAATACAGCTCACCATGTTCACGAGTGCAATATAACTCGACCTGTTAATGAGCTCAATACTGCTCACTATGTTAATTCGAGTACATTTTTGCTCACAATTAGCTTAGTCCCTTACTTAGGTAGGTTAGAAATTCAAACCATTTATTTAGGTAGGCTTAGGGACTTTAGTTAGTGTCAACTGAGTATTAGCCTAATCTGTACTCACCATTACTTACAGTTGACTATACTTATAGAGACTGATTTAATAAACTCAAATTCATGTAAAGGTGATTTCTTATTAACAAGTTTACAGTGTCAAGCCTATGAGCTGCCATTTAATTAGCTCATAAGTCAAAATGACTAGGCTGCTAATCTCACTGTCGACTCAGAATTTTCCTTGATTTTAATGAATAAACTTTTCAGTTCTCTACCTTTCTATTATTTTAGCTAGTTAGCAAATTAGTTGTACCATCAGTCAGCATGACTACTGCACGGCAGTGCACATTAAATTCAATTTCCTCATTTGAATTTGGGGTGATCGTGATGCTGCGTGATGTTATTGTCTAGTAACTCAATAGTTACAAGTCACAGCGACCCTAGACAGTCACTTTACTGTAGTGTCATAGTCTCCTTGATCTTAAATGACTAATAACACTTTACTGTATAATCATACAATAGTGTTATCAGTTCTTAGGAACTTATTCTGAGTTTACCTACGATTCAGCAGCTACGTAATACACCATTACATGTCACTGCGACCCTAGTTGTTGAGTTTATTGTGAACTTTAGAGTGTTCCTGATTACCGATAACTTAACCATTTAATGTTTCATTATTTCATGCATGTTTCCACTAAGGGAAACTGCAAGCCTATTACAACTCGGAAGAAGAGTAATTTCCTTCACTTCCCACTGAGTAAACTGTGATGATGCTACGATGTGATATCACGTAACGAAACATTACACGTCACTATGACCCAGGATATTGCATCACCGTAGATTCTGTTAGTTTAAATTGGGAGAGTTGAATTTTATAAATATTGTGTAGGCTACAAACAACATGTTTCATTTGACATGTAAATAGCAAGACTCAAGTCCTTGTAAGTCCTTGATGAATCCGGGACGTTCGTTATGTGTGTACTAACATACTAACATATTAACATACTAATGTATTAATCTTAATATCACTTCGGGATAGGTCAGTACAACACAGTACACTGCGACCCTAAGATCCTCCCCCCGGAGTTATGTTGGATATTTCCAACACCGAATACAACATTGTTGTATTCTTATTACTTATTACTAACCATACTAAATATTGTAGTAAGTAAAATTAACAACTCGTAGAATTCTCATGTACTAATAATTCATCTGTGCATTAGGCTAGAATTCTCACGTCACCTGACGCCAGTATTGCGTCAGATTTCCTTACAGTAAAACACATTATATTCAATTTGTGTGAGAATTAAATACGATTCTCCATAATTAAAGCATTCTGTATGACAACTGATTGCAGACGAATTGTTCTCTAACTAAAAGCCGAATAGAGCGTTAGAATCATAGCGTCTACCTCGCGATAGAGTTAACGTCATCAATGAATGCCATGGGGAGACATTAATTCCTCTCCCTTATATATTTACTATTCTTAGATTGGTAAATAATAATATTTTGTTCCTCTAAATAATAAACCCGTCCAGTCTTTAATGTTTCAAGCGCGAATGCGAGAAATATTAATGTTCGTGACAATAATTTGTGTTATGAACGTCGACTCGGCGTGGGTTGGAGGGACGCCACCACCCTCAGTACGCGGACACGTGCAGAGCCGAAAGGAGGCAGAACTGTGCTTACCGTACTCATAAACGACGCCATTGGTCAGCAAATCGGGCAGGTGTTATTCATCCTCAGATGAAAGCCGCCACTGTGAGGCGTGAACGACCTTGCAGATAATATCTTCAACTAGAGCTGGTGTTAAATGAGGGACCCCTAGACTTGGTTCCTGACGACACGTGATCAGCCAGCTTGAAACGCATCAATCCAGGATAGGTTCACCGGAGCCTGGGATGCGAAATTACGGCAATCTTAATACTTATACAGTGCCCACAGCTAAGTACCCTTTATTTGATGCATCATTTACAGGTTTAATAATAGCGGGGTCACGCAGCGGGATAACACCTAATAACAGGTGATTAGAATTCCATCTGTAGATATTAATAATTTTGAATATGAATTGAGTAGTTAAATCAATTGCTACTGGTAGTTATTTATCTTGCAGCTCGAGAGACGAATTCCTCATGCTGTCTTCTCCATGTTAACCGTACCATTCGTCTGTGTACCAGACTTGGAGATTAAGAGGACTTCCATGGTTATCTAAAGGAATCTACTACAAGCTAAGGCTTATTTCTTTTTATCCATTTCTTTGCAATTTACTATATTCAGAATGTTTAATATTAATGTGATTTATTGTAACTCATTACTATGCTCATATTCATGTTCTTCTTTATATGAATGATATTATATTCAGCATTATTTATAGGATAAGATTATTATTAATTGAATTAGTGAACGAACCACACTGATTCCTGGACGTACTTACCTCCAGTAATAACCCCCCAATGTAGGTGTTTGAGGTTTGTTTTCTTTAATAAAACAGCCCATTAATTATTCTTATGATCATACTTTCTAGTCATATCCATAGTCACTGGTTTTCTCTAGAAATTTATCTAATGATCTGAAATTCTCAGTTTCCCTCTTTACTTTAAAAGCGGGTGGTCCTTCGTAATTTAATTTACTACTTTAATTATTAATTAATCAGAATCAAACCCAAATATCCCACAACACACACACACACACACATATATATATATATATATATATATATATATATATATATATATATATATATATATATATATATATATATATATATATATATATATATATATATATATATATATATATATATATATATATATATATATATATATATATATATATATATATATATATATATATATATATATATATATATATATATATATATATATATATATATATATATATATATATATATATATACACATATGTCGTACCTAGTAGCCAGAACGCACTTCTCAGCCTACTATGCAAGGCCCAATTTGCCTAATAAGCCAAGTTTTCATGAATTAATTGTTTTTCGACTACCTAACCTACCTAACCTAACCTAACTTTTTCGGGTACCTAACCTAACCTAACCTATAAAGATAGGTTAGGCTTATTAGTTAATAAGCTACTAGTTACGACATATATATATATATATATATATATATATATATATATATATATATATATATATATGTCGTACCTAGTAGCCAGAACTCACTTCTCAGCCTACTATGCAAGGCCCGATTTGCCTAATAAGCTAAATTTTCATGAATTAATTGTTTTTCGACTATCTAACCTACCTAACCTAACCTAACTTTTTCGGCTACCTAACCCAACCTAACCTATAAAGATAGGTTAGGTTAGGTTAGGTAGGGTTGGTTAGATTCGGTCATATATCTACGTTAATTTTAACTCCAATAAAAAAAAATTGACCTCATACATAATGAAATGGGTAGCTTTATCATTTCATAAGAAAAAAATTAGTGAAAATATATTAATTCAGTAAAACTTGGCTTATTAGGCAAATCAGGCCTTGCATAGTAGGCTGAGAAGTGAGTTCTGGCTACTAGGTACGACATATATATATATATATATATATGTCGTACCTAATAGCCAGAACGCACTTCTCAGCCTACTATTCAAGGCCCGATTTGCCTAATAAGCCAAGTTTTCATGAATTAATGTTTTTTCATCTACCTAACCTACCTAACCTAACCTAACCTAGCTTTTTTTGGCTACCTAACCTAACCTTACCTATATATATAGGTTAGGTTAGGTTAGGTAGGGTTGGTTAGGTTCGGTCATATATCTACGTTAATTTTAACTCCAATAAAAAAAAATTGACCTCATACATAGTGAAAAGGGTAGCTTTATCATTTCATAAGAAAAAAATTATAGTAAATATATTAATTCAGGAAAACTTGGCTTATTAGGCAAATCGGGCCTTGAATAGTAGGCTGAGAAGTGAGTTCTGGCTACTAGGTACGACATATATATATATATATATATTTATATGTATATATATATATATATATATATATATATATGTCGTACCTAGTAGCCAGAACTCACTTCTCAGCCTACTATGCAAGGCCCGATTTGCCTAATAAGTCAAGTTTTCCTGAATTAATATATTTTCTCTAATTTTTTTCTTATGTAATGATAAAGCTACTCATTTCATTATGTATGAGGTCAATTCTTTTTTATTGGAGTTAAAATTAACGTAGATATATGACCGAACCTAACCAACCCTACCTAACCTATCTTTATAGGTTAGGTTAGGTTAGGTAGCCGAAAAAGTTAGGTTAGGTTAGGTTAGGTAGGCTAGGTTGTCGAAAAAACATTAATTCATGAAAACTTGGCTTATTAGGCAAATCGGGCCTTGCATAGTAGGCTGAGAAGTGCGTTCTGGCTACTAGGTACGACATATATATATATATATATATATATATATATATATATATATATATATATATATATATATATATATATATACATGCAAACCAGCCTTAATGGTCCCCAGGACTATATGCAACTGAAAACTCACACCCCAGAAGTGACTCGAACCCATACTACCAAGAGCAATGCAACTGGTATGTGCACCTGTACATAATTTTCCAGCAATAGATAATTCAAATATAAATTATAATTATTGCATATATATATGTACTTTTTTTTTTACTCTGCTTGAATGACGTTTGACTGAACAAGCTACAAGCCAGTCCTCATTACAATCTAAACATGTTTTGTAATGATTGCAGGAGGTGGATCTTGCTGTCGGTCCCGTCATGCTACTGGGAGAGCGAACTGGAGTGGTGGACTTCACTGTGCCAGCGATCATAGACTACTGGAAAATTATGGGCGCTCGAGGCCGGCCGGAGGTGGACCCGTGGGGCTTCCTGTTCCCTCTAGAGCCGCTGGTGTGGGCGGTCATCCTGGGGGCGCTGCTGGTGCTGCCAGCTTCACTATTCCTCATGTCTTCATGCTTCTTTCAGAAGACAAGTGGTCAACGGAACTGGTTACTGCTCACTTTCGACTACATTCGAATCTTATTACAGCAAGATAAAAGTAACAAAACAATACAAGTTACTGATAACCATGAACTGTAATGTATATAGTAAAATATGATGAAAGCAGATGCAAAGTGGATATACACATAAAATAATTTTAAAACAAAATATATTATGATGGTTTATTTTATATGATTAAGAAGTTCACACGTAAGGCAGTAGAAAGTTACAGCCTCCGATTTCATAGCAGCATACACCACAAATTAAACAATAGTTAAACTACGGAACACTAAATGTTTCATTACAGATATCAGGGAGAATGCAAACTGGTGGTGGGAGCGGATGATGTTGGCAGTGTGGGGGCTGGTGACGGTGGTGTTGACGCAGAGCTACGCCGGTAACCTCATGGCTCTCCTGGCTGTCAGACACATCTCTGAACCTTACCAGTCCCGACGCGACGTGCTGGACGACCCGTCTACTACCATGATATGGTTAAAAGGGTCCGGACTAGAAGACTTCCTACAGGTTGGCAATAAAAATGTTACAATAGCCTGCATTGTAAGACAAAACAAAATGCAAATCTCAAGCTTATAAAATGAGTATTTATACCTAATTCAGTATCCGTTATTGCTGTCAGTCGCAGGAGTCTGGTATATACTACAAAATGAACGAGGCAATGAAGACTGGCCACCTCATATGGCGGCCACGAGAGGAGTTCCCAGAAGCCATTAACACCTTGGTTAGGCGAGGCGATCATGTTCTTATAGATGCCGGCTATACTTTAATTTCACATTTTGCTCAAGACTTCACCAAAAACGGTATGTTCAACGGTTTTCATTTAGACATGTTTCGTTGAATATGACTGCATATTCTGTGTTTATTATTTTCTTGCTTAAGGCTGTTGCTCTCTGACTGTTGCTCTCACAATGTCATATTTGTTCGACGTTGACTAAAAGAAAAATTTGACTATAGAATGTATTACACTTATTATATAATAAATTTAGACGTTTCGAAGCTATAAGGTTCATTCTCAAGTGATGGAACAGAATTGATTCATAGATTGATAAGGATTAAGCCACCCAAGAGGTGGCACTGGCATGAGTAGCCCGTAAGTGGAGGCCGCTAGGAGCCATTACCAGTACCAATAGCTGATTTGAGGATGGATGGGGTCGATGTCCTCTCTAGGACATCGTCTTCTTATTGGGCTTCGTCGTCTTGCTGCGTGTAGACTCTGCAATGCTCTCCATCGGTCTGGAGTAGAAATTCATCCTGGCCGTTGGGACTAAGTTGGTGGGGAGGAGATGGTACTCCCACCGAGACTTTTCCGTCTATTATGTCAATTAGTTCTGCCACCGATACGATGTGGGTCGAAGGTGCAGGTGTGTGCCCCTGTGGCCACGGAGCGGGTTGCCGTTGCAGCAGGAACGTTGGCGGTTTGCAGGCGAGGGCTGACTGTTCGTCTGGTGTGTGGTGTTGGAGCCGTTGTAGGTGTCGTAGCTGGGGCAGACAGCACTGTGTCAGGAACGATTATCCCAGTTAAGCCACTCGTGGTATATAGGGTGTTGAGTGTGCTCACGAACAAGCAGTTGTCGAACCCGGCGACCCATTCGGCAAGGCGCATGAGGGGTGGAGATGATGCCGTCGGTTGAAGAGATTTTAGGGCACGTTGGTGTAGGGCAGTGAGCCGGCTGGGAGCCTTATGCAGCAGCCTCTGCAATGAGAGGCTGCTGCCTGGTAAGTAAGGGATGGAAAGCTTCGGACTGGCTGATGGATGCAGTAGCATTGGATTTGGTGTTGGTGTCTGTGGCATCGTTCGTGTGAACTGACCTTGATTCCATTAATTGCTGGATGACTTTCTGTCTGCGTGGATTGGGATGAGAAATAGCAGCAAAGTAGTCATTAAGGAGGAGAGAAAGTGTTGAAAGTTAACTTTGCAAACGAAGAAGTGATGATCCTAGGCGCAGATACTGCACCTTGCATCTTGTAATGGGCACTTGTTGATGAAGTGTGTATACTCAAAGTATCTGACGCACTTGTGCATAGTGTAGAACCGTTCCTTTGCTACTTGTGCAGGTGGGGTCAAGATGACAAAATATTTGAACCCAGCAGTGGCGACGAGATGTGCAGCATCTACAGTGGTTAAGATGATCTTCAGAGCCGTCGCCGGCGTTGAGGAGGCTCGTAATCTTGAGTACCTCCAAGTTAAGGTTTTCAATTTGTATCCCTAGGCTACTGCTCTAGTCATAAAACCCTTTACTTAGGTGTCTGAGTAAGTAAAGTTTTTTATGTAAGTTTTTCTTACTTTACTTAGGCGTCTAAGTAGCTGCAACAAGAACGAAGAGAATTTCTGTTAGTCTCCAGTCAGTGATTGGGGAATGACACTCCTGGCAATCAAATTTTTTTCGGCCAATGTGTGACTCGGGAAGGCGAGTTAGATGTTCTGGCAAAATAGGCTTTTCTGGATTGAAGAACGGTGTAAGTGGTCAGCTACAGCTCCTTGGTTGTAGATGAGCACGATCCCCTCTCCTTCCTGGCGGATGCCGATGGGATTAGTGTTGGTTGTGGTGACAATGGTCTTTAGAATATTGCTCGTGGAGAATGTCTGAGTAAATGAACAAATGTAATGTTTGGTTGTTCCAGAGGCGAACTTTCAACATATTGATTATGGTCGATTGCTACCTTCTCTAATGTCAGAGTAACGTTGGATGTTTTATGGAGTAGTTGTAATGGGATAGGAATGATTGATTGATGAAGACTAAGCCACCCAAGAGGTGGCATGAACATGAGTAAGTGGGACAGGATGTTGTTGTTTTTAGATCTAACTACTCAAAACAAAATATCTATGTAGCATAAGCTATAGTGAGCCTGTAAGGGACAAGATTTTTTGGTGTTGTTTTAGATTTAGCTACTCAGAACAACAAGTTCGAAGTAGCACAGGCTATGGGGAGCCTGTACATGGAGGCTCTTTGGAGCCATTATCTGTACCAATAGCTGATACTAGAGATATGAGGGATGGATGATGGTTTTCATGGTAGTTTTCAGTCCAGGAGGGCTGGCTGTACCAGTAAAGGACCTGGTGGGGTTAGTGTATGCCTCTAGGTCTTCCGTTTTTTCTTTGCGAGAGACTTGGCTGAGCCATGCTGTCGTTAGAGTTTGATGAGATGGCCTCCAAGAGGAGGTCTTGAACCGAGTAGGTGTCATATCTGTGGTGCGGCGGTGGAGCTCCTACTAAGATTTCCTCGTCTGAAGAGTCCGTAACCTCCATAGTTGGTGTTTTCGTCTTTCGCCTCGCAGCTTGAGGTAGGCTCAGGTGTAATTGATTGGTGCTAGAAGCTATTTCAAGATAGTAGTGAGGCTGCTGAGATGGTGATAGTAGGAGTGTTGGGAGCGGGAGAAGGAAATACCTCTGTTTGTGCCGCCTGGGTCATGGGTGGTTCTGGAGTTTGTGTTGAAATCGATCTCGTGGTAGTCATGGTGGTAGTCTCCAGAGTGGTAGTAGAGGCAGTGAGACTTGCGCCAGAGGCTATGATGGGGTCCAGGCCATTAGCAATGTATAATGTGTTCAGTTCACTGACAAAATGGTGGTTGTCTGGTCCGGCAAGCCTCTCCGGTAGTCTGACAAGACCAGTGATAATGCCTGCACGTGATGCAGAGGGGAGGGGGGCAGCGAAAAAGCCTGTGGGGTCTTGGGTCCCCATTGTGAATGTTGAGTCGCCTGGTGGAAGGAGTCCTTCTTTGGTATGACTGGACAAATCTTCTGGTCGGTTGGAGGGCGGCTGGAAGTGGTGGGTTGAGCGCCTGGGGCTTGGGTCGTGGTGGTAGAAAAGTTGTTTTTCTTGGCTTCAACCTTGGCCTTGAGGTTTTCCTGTCTCCGGGGGCAGCGGTAGGAAATTGCGAGGTGATTGCCATCACAAAGCAAGCAACGATGGGTTGCCTTATATCGAGAAGCAATGGTCCAGTGCACAAAGGCTACACTTCTGGACGGGATGCTAACACTTTTTGGTGGGGTGGGAGAGCTCGTAGCACTTAAAGCACTGCTGGATCTCATGGTATCATTCCTTTTTTACTTGGTGGGGTTGTATTTGTAAGCCAAAGCAGTAGAAACCTTGTGTGGCAGCCTGGGTGGCCGCAGCTATGGTGGTGAAAGTAATCTTCATTGAAGATTTGTCAGTGCCGCAGAACTCTAAGTTAAATACACCCAGGTTCTGATTTTTGTCCACGATATTGTCCCATGATCTTTTGTTGCAGTTGGTCAGCGATCCACTGGCTGGACCTGCTGGTAAAAACAGTTCTTCCGGCCAGGAACTGACGTGGGAAGTGAGAATGTAGGTGGTACTCCTTGCAAAGTATTGCATCGTTGGTCAAGAGTTGTTCTAGCTCTTCGTCACATGAAAAGAAGAGCACGATATCATCACCTCCCTGACTAATGTCATTGGGGGTGATGCCGGTAACATCCTTCAAGACCTCTAGAATATCGCTTTTCCCGAAAGCATGACCGTCAAGGGAGGTAGCTCTAACCTTTAGACGTTCGGGTCGCAATATGTCCACACTCTCAACGGGTAGCAGTGGGAATGGTTGGGGGGAGGGGGAAGTGTGTATCGGATTTATACCACTGGGAGGTCAGGTACATACAAATAGGTGAGGTATAAAACGTAAGAGGCACAAGTCATAACCTATACATACAATTAGGTGAGGAATAAGGAGTAAAGGTTAAAAACACATTCCAAGACAATTCAGGTGTAGTGGGCTTGTCGTTTTGAGCAGTGTTGTCGATAGCATCTTGACGTTCCGGTTTTATTCTTACTCTCATGGTTGGTAGAGTGACTAGTTCCGTTATTTGGGTATTTATGGTGGGCTGTTCGACTTTTATGTGAAGGGCTTCAAGAATTTGCAATCTTTTTACATCTTGGGTTTTGTCAATTATGCAAGTATTATTATTCAGCATTTCCCTTGTTACGGTGATGTCATGGGCTTGTCTCAAGTGAATTTGTTTGGGCATCTGATTGAAAATGACAGGTCAAAAGCCTCTTGAGCTTGGTCACCGTCATACCTATGTACTTAGAGTGAAGGTTACGTCCTTCGTGGGGTGCAGGTGTACATATATACCACGTTTGACTGGTTTACGGTTGTGGTTTTACTTCTTCATGGATTATTTCTTTCATTAATCTTTCTCCTTTTTTATATTCACTGTGCATGGTGAATCTATATAAATAAAAATGGAAATGTTCGTTTGTTCTAAATCGCTAATCTCCGAGAGTTCTTCACCAATTGGTTTGAATCTTTTACACAACGTTCCATTCACATCCGAGCAGGTTTTTATATACATACTATATAGATGTCAGGTCTGTGACGGAAAAAACATTTTTTTTTTAAACTTTTTTTCATGTGTGGGAAATCTTTGAAACCTCTATTCCGATCGCTTTGAAATTTTGAAACAACGTTGCATTCGAATAGGCAGATGTTTTTATATACCTATTATAAACATGCCTCACCTGTGACAGGAAAAAACATTTTTTTTTTTTAAACAGCGCCTTCTGCTGGAAGTAAGAGGAACACATGCTGTAAACTCCAAAATTTCTTCACCCAATGTATTGAAATTTTGACACAACATTCTATTTGAGTACATACATGTTTTTATATACCTACTATATAGATTCCACACCTGTAAAGGTAAAAACATGCTTTTGTTTTAAAAACAGTGCTATCTGCTGCACGTAATAGCAACACATGCTATACTAAATATGTTACGATTCCATTTCAATGTTTCTGATTGCATTGATAAATTTAATTTGTCATAGATTTTGACTTAGTTTCATTTTGATATAATTGTTTTGTATGACATTGCGTTGGAATTGAGCTGTGTTGTTTACCATACCTTTCATTCTGTAAGTATAAGTATAGGTGCCACACCTGTGACTGGTTAAAACATTCTTTTTTTAAGAAACAGCACCATCTGTTGCACATAAGACCAACACATGCTATACTAAATATGTTACAATTCCATTTCAATGTTTCCAGTTGCATTCACAAATTGAATTTTCATAGATTTCGGTATTATTTCCATTTTGATTTAATTATTTTGAGTGACATTGCATTCGAATTGAGCAGTGTTGTTTACCATACCGTTCATTTTGTGAGTATAGTTTATTTTTTTATCTTTTCATTTTACCATTTCATTTTTTAACAGTTTTCTTATATTTCAGTGGTGGGAACATTAGATCATTTGATGTTCCAAATTTTCTGATGGGAACATCAGATCATTTGGGAATGCATCGGATGAGTGAGTGGGGAATGGTGGGCAGGACGAAGGGACAGGGGAGGGTGTAATGTTGGAGGGGATCGGGAGTTGGGGATGGTGGGAATGAGGGGACAGGAATGGAGAATGGTGGGGAGGACCAGGGGACAGGGGAGGGAGGAATGTTGGGGAGGACGATGGGGATGGGTGAGTGGAAGATGGTGGGGAGGACGAGGGGGATGGGTGAGTGGAAGATGGTGGGGAGGACGAGGGGATGGTGGAGTGGGGAATGGTTTGGAGGACGAGGGGACGCTGGAGTGAGGGGTATAGTAGGGAGGAAAAAGGGATGGGGAAGTGGGGACTGGTGGGGAGGACAATGAGACGGGGGAGTGGGGGAATGGTTGGGAGGACGAGGGGATGGAGGAGTGATGAATGGTTGAGAGGACGAGGGGATGGGGAAGGAGGGAACGGTGGGAGGACTGGGAGACAGGGTAAGGTTGCTGTGGCTCAGCAACGCAAATGTGTTGCAGAGTCACAGCAACGCGCGGCCAGGTACAACTAGCTTGTAATATAATTTTATTGGAGGTGTTGTGGTTTCTGTTCTTGGTTCTAGATGCTACCACCTGTCCAAGTGTCATCTTATAGTAGTGTTTATGGTTACAATATCCATTGTTCACCAATACTTGTGTTATCCTTTCAAACTCCATACTCACGTTGCTCCATTCAGAGCAGTGGGTAAGGGCTCGACGAATATAAGCGTTGAGAACACTAGATTTGTATCTTTATTTACGTCTACCATTTAGGCATAATCCTATGCTTGTAGGCTTGGTATATAAACTGGTGCTTAGAGATGCTCCTGTTTTTGTTATTACCACGTCCAGATTGTTATTTTCAAATATATGAAAATATCAGTCTGCCTTTAGAGTGTAATTGACCTTGAAGATAGTTCAGTAAATTTCTGTAATTAATCACGTATTTTGGTTAATGCAACTTTCTTAAGGTGCAAACTTATAAAGTAAGAGTTTCTAGTATTCTCACAGGTACTGCAGTTAAGATATTATAAAATACTATTAAAACATTATCTCTGAATCATTTGCGTGTATGGGACTTAAAGAAAGAGGTATATGTCATTTCTATTGCACTAATCTGCTTAATATGAATAATAACATTTTATCTTTCAGGCAAGTGCTCGTTTTACTCCTCAAGAGAGGGTTTTCTGCCTTTGATTTTAGGAATGATAAGTTCGATGGACAATCCAATCGTCCCAGCTATTAATAAGAGGTAAAAGTCAAGTTATACAGTATGTAATATATTACAGTTTACTCTTCCCTTCTGATAGAAAGGTACTTGTAAGAGCGAACTAAATTTAACGTCGTAGATCTACTTTCTCTTTGATATGTTTTTTTTTTTATTTTTTAAGGACTGCTACAGTCACATATTATTAGCTCTAGCAAGAGGTAAATAATTATTAATATGTGTCTATTTAAAGATAACATTGGACCACAACAATGTTTATGTCTGGTCCATTATAGTTCTGTATTACACTCAGTGTCTTCTGAGTATTAAAAACAATATATATGTTGGTTAAAATGTATGTGTCACATATGTATATGTTGTTAAAATTTAAATGAGTTATGTGTGATGACTCGTAAAAGCTCGTGTATATCCATTGTTTAACAGGATCACGGCTGCGACTGAGGCTGGTCTGTTCTTCAAGTGGCTGATGGACTCTGAGCCAAACTCTACCATATGTCTTAATGCCCCAACTAGCATCACAGTCAGGGCATCGCTTTCAATAAGTAATCTTTGGGTAAAAAATAAATTAAATGTTTGTATTACACTATAGAAACTGAAATTAAAACTGATCTCTGGTGATAATATGTGAAAATTTGTATAACAATTTTATATCAATAAAAGCCTTTATGATCTTCCTGCTAATTGACTTGGCTTGTTATATTTCAGGGGATGTTCGTCATTCTTACTGTTGGACACGGTGCAGGGTTTTTAATACTGTGTCTGGAGATAATTACGGTCATGATACAGAAATAAGACATAAGACAATCAAGATAAGTTACCATCATAGTTCCTGGACGTCTCCATTCTGTACTATCTCCTGATCCTATTAGGGTTAATCTTATCTATAATTTATGTATTTTGTAGTCTGCTCCACCACTTCTTGTTCACTAAACTAACTTGTTACGTCAGCACATGTAACAAGCATGTTGTTAGTTATAATAATAATAATAATAATAATAATAATAATATAGGATAAAACTCACACTTGTGCATTTGTGAAATTTACGTAGAGAATTACACCAAGTCTTTTACACTCTCCTGAGTGCTTTGTCAAGGTCTGAGTGTGTGGTTCGGACGAGACTTACATCTGAACGTCTAATGAGGCTGCTATCCTGGGTCCAGTCCTCTTATCCTTCTTGTCCTCCTGACCAGGGGCCAGATTCACGAAAGCACTTACGCAAGCACTTACGAACCTCTACATCTTTTCTCAATCTTTGGCGGCTTTGTTTCCAATTATTAAACAGTCAATGAGCTCCGAAGCACCAGGATGTTCATAACAATAACAACAGTTGAATGGGAAGTTTTCATGCTTGTAAACTGTTTAATAAATTTAACCAAAGTCATCAAAGATTAAGGAAAGATGTACACGTTCGTAAGTGATTGCGTAAGTGCTTTCGTGAATCTGGCCCCAGGACACCGCTATTCCCGACTGACGACGTACCAGAGATGGTGTCTTCCACGGAATTATGATCAGGTGTCCTTTCTGTCATCCTAATATTTTGGGAACTGGAGCTGTTATTATTAGAGATTTTCATCTGGATGCGTTCCCTCGTAATTCAAGTCTCTCCATGCCCAAAGTATCGCTTCTAATGAGACTGCTTTCATTCATCCATTTATTGAGATTTAATTTTCATTCACTTAGAATCACTTTTGTAGTAAAGGTATTGTCCGAAGTAAAGTTTTTGTTACCATCGAAAGTATTTGTACTATTTATTAGAACCAATGCCATTACCCTTCTAATTTTAGTATTAGCTTTATACATTATTCTTAAAATCAATATTGTGAGTCTTTTTCCCAACTATGGTGTGCTACAGCACTATTATCAGCCATGATCATACATGCTCTCTTGTGTTCTTCAATTCTGATCTCAGGTTTTAGCCCTGTCCCTCCCCCCCCAACATAGATTTCATTACAATCCCTACACGGTAATATATAAATGCCTCCCGATTTATTTCATCTTCTACTATATTCTTACAAACTCTTTCCCAAAGTGTATTTGGATAATTAAAAGCGATTATATGTATTTTATCTCTAATTGAAAGTAATTTTATGTATCAAATATGTTATAGGTCAGTTTACCTAAAAGAGAGTTATGTGAGGTAGCATAATTTCAAAACTATATTCTTCTAAGGATTCCAAGGGCGTCTTTCAGTTGTAGTGTAAATGATGCCTTTAGCTTTATTATGTGCTCTTTCAATGAACCACGAGAGATAACCCAAATCCCAAAAACTTATATAAGTACTAGCGTACTTATATAAGTACTAGCGTACTTATATAAGTAAAGTAGAAGTTCGGCTTCTAGGTAAGACGGGCCACAAATCCAATATGTACTTAGATTAAGACCGGTGAGTACACTGTACTTAACTGAATTAGAATGATATGAGAAAAAATAAATATATGAGTTTGTATGTCTTTGTATGTTCACCCCCGCTTCGACTGGCGGGCAAAACCAGGTGAGGGTAGCTGAAGGTTCGGGAACCTCTGAGAACTAAGGCGTGTCTATCTACGCATGTGATGAAAGGATGAAAGAAATTCCTCCGCGCTCTACGCATCAGCGACCCTCAGTTTCTTGATTCTGAAATTGCCTTTATCTACAAATCATTCTCTCGCCTTGGTTACCCTTTGCGTTTCATCAACTGTGCCTACTCTCAAGCTAAACGAAATTTCTTTCATCCTAAACCTGCTTCCAACACTAGTAGCACTGTACTATGCCTTCCCTTCATATCTGAACTCAAAACTTTTACCAATACCTTTCGTCCTCTTGATATTAAACTCGCCTTTCGACAAACTAACACACTTCATAGCAATCTAGTTCACACTGCTCCTCCTGCTTCTAACGCTGCTGGCGTCTACTCTATTTCCTATTCGTCATGTCCTCTCCAATACTTTGGCGAAACTGGCCGTACACTGAATGACAGACTTAATTAAAGAACACAGGAGAAGTGTTAAGTCTGCAGACACTAACAATGCTCTCTTCTGCCATGTGAGGGATTCTAATCATCCCATTGATTGGTCTTCCTCTAAAATAATCTTTCCTGCCTCTACTCTACACAGACGCCGTCGTGTTGAATCGGCTCTTATACACAATGTACTCAACATGAACGTGAGTCCTGGCTTTGTTGCTGTGGACTCTTCCCTTTCACAGTATATACTTAAATGCTCTAATCTTTCTAACAAACGTGACTTAACATAAGCTTACCCCTTCCATTTATCTCTCTTTCTCTTTCCTTTTCTTTCTCTCTTCTCCCTTTTTCTGTTCATTGTCTTCTCCTACGCTCCCTTGGTATCCTCTTCTTATTCCTATCTCCTTCTCATTCGGTGGTTATAATAGGAGCTGCCTCGTATGGGCCAATAGGCCCTCTGCAGCTCTTATTATTATTACTATCCCCTCTACTACACCTTACTTTGCTCCTCAGCTCTCTCTTGCCAATTTATTGCCTGTCTTTACTTCTTCATCACAATCGACTTGAGAATGGTCCAAGACGGACCGAAACGTCGTCGTCCCTTCACCTTCTAGTGTGTGGTCTGGTCAACATACTTTAGCCACGTTATTGTGACTCATCGCCTGCACATGGTTAAGAGTTATTACTAGGTTTACTAGGCACATGGTTATTACTAGGCACATGGTTAAGAGTTTGACTAGGAATGTTGAGAGATTGAGTATCAAGGTGCGAGTGACGGAGCCAGAGGGTGGACGCCATCGTCCACTGGTCGGAAAGAGTCTGCGTGGGACAAGTCCTCAACGTTCGCAGGATTAACGCCTGTCAGGTACCAAGATAAGTCTTAATGTTGTAGTTATTCAGGTTATAGGAGTGTGTAGAGTAAATTGGCGTTGTACCGAGTAGGTAACAGTCCAGATTTTCTAGTTAAAATATATTTGGCTGACTAATATGCTAAGAGATGTGGTTGTTGTATACAATTTCTAGAGTTAAACCAGAATTCAAGGGTTACTGTATTACTGAAGTCTTTGGTGAAAGATAAGTCACACTGGTGTGTAACTATTAACGAGAATGATCTTAAGATGTGAGGAGTGCTTTATTGCGTTTATTACCTGGTGTATGTTTTATTTTGTAAATAAAATTTTTGTCACTACTCAGATGTTTCCCTACTCCTTTTGAAAATTCCATTGGCAAATCTAGAAGCATCATCCCCTAGACCCCTAAGTAAAGGATTTTATGATCAGAGTAGAAGCCTTGGGACATGGCCAACTTGAGATTAAATAATAAGGACCAGGCCGTACAATAGAGTAAACATCATTAATTTATAAAAGTCTGTGACAGAGGAAAGAGAATCAGACAGTCACTGTTAAATAGAACGTAGAGCAGCTAATAAGAGAGACGTGACACTAGACACACCCAAGCATGGTCAGGACAGCATTGAGGTGAGGTGGGCAGTCTTGAGAGAAGCAGTATACTCTCCTACCCTTGAGGACCTCCGACCAGCAACCCACAAAAACCAGGACCGGTTCGACGAAAACGATGTGAAGCACTCAGAATTATACTTGGCTGTGAGATAACTACCAAAGTTCTCAATATGCGGAAAGAAGTAAATATAACAAGCATTCGAGAATGAATATTTAAAATCAATCTCATGCTGGGACTAAAACTTCTGGATGATAACAAAAACAACATTTATAGGCGATGAGTCACAATAACATGGCTGAAGTATGCTGACCAGACCACATACTAGAAGGTCAAGGGACGACGACGTTTCGGTCCGTCCTGGACCATTCTCAAGGACGGACCAGTCCTTGACAATCGACTGTATGAGGTCAATTTTTTTTATTGGAGTTTAAATTAACGTAGATATATGACCAAACCTAACCAATCCTACCTAACCTAACCTAACCTATCTTTATAGGTTAGGTTAGGTAGCCGAAAAAGTTAGGTTAGGTTAGGTTAGGTAGGTTAGGTAGTCGAAAAACAATTAATTCATGAAAACTTGGCTTATTAGTCAAATTGGGCCTTGCATAGTAGGCTGATAAGTGAGTTCTGGCTACTAGGTACGACATATATATATATATATATATATATATATATATATATATATATATATATATATATATATATATATACATATATATGTCGTACCTAGTAGCCAGAACGCACTTCTCAGCCTACTATGCAAGGCCTGATTTGCCTAATAAGCCAAGTTTTCATGAATTAATTGTTTTTCGACTACCTAACCTACCTAACCTAACCTAACCTAACTTTTTCGGCTACCTAACCAAACCTAACCTATAAAGATAGGTTAGGTTAGGTTAGGTAGGGTTGGTTAGGTTCGGTCATATATCTACGTTAATTTTAACTCCAATAAAAAAAATTGACCTCATACATAATAAAATGGGTAGCTTTATCTTTTCATAAGAAAAAAATTTGATAAAATATATTAATTCATGAAAACTTGGCTTATTAGGCAAATCGGGCCTTGCATAGTAGGCTGAGAAGTGCGTTCTGGCTACTAGGTACGACATATATATATATATATATATATATATATATATATATATATATATATATATATATATATATATATATATATATATATATATATGTATATGTCGTACCTAGTAGCCAGAACGCACTTCTCAGCCTACTATGCAAGGCCTGATTTGCCTAATAAGCCAAGTTTTCATGAATTAATATATTTTCTCTAATTTTTTTCTTATGAAATGATAAAGCTACCCATTTCATTATGTATGAGGTTAATTTTTTTTTATTGGAGTTAAAATTAACGTAGATATATGACCGAACCTAACCAGCCCTACCTAACCTAACCTAACCTATCTTAATAGGT